TGTGATAAAACACGTACAGAAGTTCTTGGCGCATTTTCCATTATTTGTTGGACATTTTCTTTTAATTCTTCAGTCCGCTTTTTAGGTCGGCCGCTTCCTTCTTTTCTTGTTACACTGCCCGTTTCACGAAAAACATTAACACAACGCTGAACTGCACTTTGAAAAATTTTGTACTCAACAACGCCGGGAAATTGATTTTGAAATTCTATGAAACATTCCTCAATAGAATACTTCCATATTCCATCAATCTTGCGTCCATTTCTAAAGTAGGACTCTATGATAAACACTTTTTGTTCTTGAGAAAACACCATTTTAAACGCTTTTTAAAACGAAAATATTCAAATTGATAGCGGCGATATAGCGCTTTGACAGATGACGTTTAAGTTCATTTGCTATACGCTACGCCCTACGTCCAAATTTTCAGAACCAACTTGACCACGTTTTTATTTGAACGCTCGTTATTATGTACAATAACATATTAGTTTCCACAGTCAAAAAATATTGTTTACGGGCTGGTTAATTGTATAATTTTTACGTAAAAGGATTAAAATTTCATTAAAGTCGGTTCAAAAGCCGAAAAGGTAAATCGCTGGGGACCCCTTTAGGGCTCTGTATCTCCGTTAAAGGGCACTTTAGGGGAAAAAAAATGACAAACTAGGGTTATTTTGTGACATACATACACTCCCGAGAGTATGCCATATCTAGATACCCTGTATATTACTATTTCAGTTAAAACCATCAAGTATGTATTATACCTTAATATATTTAAACGATCACGTTCTCAATGCATTTATTTTTATTTATTTAAGTATATTTGTTCACCTAATACAGATAATTTATGTCATTAAATTGTTTTTGTTGTTTCTAAAATAAACGATATTTTAATAAATATTGTCGGTGTTAACATTAATAATGATAAGGAGTTAAGGACTGACATGAATAACATGTTATTTTTTTTTACTTTATTATTACTAAATAGAGGTAAATATTGGACAGCTTCAAAAAGATGGTTGTTTATTTTATAAAAATAGGAATACAACGTTGACCATTAATGTAATTGTGGTCAACCCCAGAAAAAATGCATCTTTTATACTGATTTTTTTTTGTATTTACAAATATGTCACAAAAATTATCGTTAAACGAAATATTAATTAAAATTTCAATTTCGGAATTATTTTACTATTATTAAACAAATAAATGAAGCTATCGTTCATTTAATCGTAGTTTACGTCGTAAACTTTATTTTGCGAAAATTTCAAGTCTTAATATTTATAAACAATTGCGCTACGATTTTTATCTAATTTTGGCTCCTGTTGGTCGTAGAGGGTGCTTTTTTTTAAATTTGTATTTTTTTGCCAGCTATCCACTGTAACTATTTGCGGTGAGGTAGCATAAATAGCAACAATTTTATTCAAATCGTTTATAAGCGAAAAACGCACGGTTTTTTAATGCACAATTTGAGAATGTTAATGTCAAAAAAACGGTGATATTTTTTAATAGGTCGCTTAATTACGTCTTTAAGATTACAATGACGCTTTCAGAATCATGTTTGGTTGAAAATTAACGCCTGTACAGAGGCTTAAAGTTCATAACTTTTGGAGCCTCCGCTATAAACAAATAGAATTGTGCGAAAACTATTGCACCTACAGCGCCCACTTTTGGCACACTTTTAAAGTATGACAAAACCCTCAACTTGTCATAGGTTTTATAAAATTTTAACAATAAATGCGATAGTTATAAACAAATGAAAAAATGGGCACTTTTCTTGTTTTTTTGCAATAACTTTTTTATTTATTAACCGATTTTAATTTAACAAGTCTCATTTTGTTGATAATTTTACTCCCTACAAGCTGTCTGCGAGTCACTTTTCGCTAAAATTGATGGTTTTCCCTGCAAAGTGAAAAAACTGTTTTCCTCACTTATTTGTTTACATAGAAAAGTTGGCTAATAAAAGTTTTATGACTCACGCGATGAGACATGTCTTGTATTATGTTCATTTAGACAATTTCACAATAATCTCGCGGATAGGACTTTTTTCAAGTTTCTCTTTTATTTTCGCTAATTTTCTTGGAGATAAATAGATGCCAGAGATGGCACAGTGATGCGTTATATAGTCACTATCGAGAAACCATCGATAGTTACAGAAAACAATCGATGAAATTCGACAGTAACAACTATCGATAATAATTATTATCGATAGTTCTTGACCTCTACTAGCTAGCTGTCAGGTTATGCAGTTGATAAAAGTAAAATAAAGTCATGCTTGTTTTTTCTTTGTATTTAATTAATGTTCCAATAAACATAAGAAATCTAATAAGTTGAAGTCTATCACATATAGTGACATGTTGTTACAGCCTTTGCACCTTGAACGGGTTTTATCCATAAGAGTAGGTAAATAAATTTATTTACTCGTTATGGTGTTATCTGTATACAATTTCTCCAAATAAATACGATTTCAGTATGTCAGAGCCTCAGTACAAACGAAGCAAGATGCCAAGCTCTCTCGACCAACTTAAGGCCGTAACGGTCGTTGTTGCCGATACCGCCGACTTTGAATGTAAGTACCCAAGTTTATACCTTTTTGCATTATCTTTGATATATTATCGCTCGGATGGTTCTAGAATTTTATAATTGATTGATTTCCTGACAGACTAAGATTCTTTTGAATATTAATTACTTACTTTTGCGTTTTCACCAAAATATAGGTAGGTAATCGTAGGACACGCAGACTTGCTTCATTGCATATTTACATTTTGCTCGCCCCTTTCTTATCTGTTTCATGTTTACATTATTATTGACGCTAGCCGTTTATTATAGTTTACCTTTACATAGTCAATAACAGAAACAAAACCACTATAATAAGTTTTAGTACGGTTCCAAACCGACCATTTTATCATACAGGTAAATCGTGTAGGTACCCTTATCAAAAGTGTTCCTCTGAGAAAACATTATCTCTTGCAATGGACACAAATTTGATAATTTTGTAGGAAGATCTATCTGGGAGGCTATTTCAGGGACACGCACGATATTTTCTCCATAAACTTTGTTTTTCCATAAAAAGCTGAACACCTTACCCCAAGTCTCCTCCTCCTCTTCTTCTTCTTCTTATTCGAGTAAGTAAATTCGCGCGGAATTTTTTAATTTTTAAAATAGTTACAGTTACAGTTAATTAAATAGCATTTTTTAAATGTATCTATTGAAGTAGGAATTGAATTGTTTGATAAGTTCATATATTATGCTAATATCATGCGTTTACGTTTCATTGCGTAAATTACAAAAGTTTTGTAAGTATATAATATTACTTCCAGATGGGAATATTGCTATATAAGTGGCTCCTACAAAAAATAGTGATATCTCTCAAAAATATTAGGTATCGATTTATTGTTAAACATTTAGCAATCACTAGAAAATGGTAAATGGCAACGTAGGTACTTAAGTAGGCATCTTCTTATTTGATTTCCCAATTATCTAAACACCAGTAAATTTTACGAATACTTTACAAGTATACTTTATTGCCACAAATTGGTTGTACATTTTAAAAACATTTAAAATTATTTAATAAACCAGTGGCGTACAATTTTTTTTTTTCAGAAAAGTCCCCTACTCCCCCAATAACTACGCCACTGGAGTGTATTTTGGAATACGTTATCCACGAAAAAATAGTCCGTACTAAATAAATGTCATACCCCAAATTTTATCACTAAATATTTTTTTGCCAATGAAGTGACAGAAAAAATCATATAAATATTTGAAACTTTGATCGCCACGGTAGCGCAGTCGGTCGAGAGTGCGGTGGCAAACATTTCTCGGGTAGGCTTCCTACTCTGGTCCGGGTTCGATCCCCGGTGTCGGCACTGGCAATGTCGATGGATAATGGGTGTTTGTCCGCGTTTTTTCAAGTGTAGCTCCCTTCCGCACAAGCCTTTGGCTTTTGGATTTGGGGGTTGTCTCATTTCTGTGGTGTGTTTTATGTTTATGTTTATGTTTTAACTCCCTGTATCTTCGTAGGGAAGCGTCCTATCAAAAATTTTTGTAGCNTGGGGGTTGTCTCATTTCTGTGGTGTGTTTTATGTTTATGTTTATGTTTTAACTCCCTGTATCTTCGTAGGGAAGCGTCCTATCAAAAATTTTTGTAGCTACAATTACGTTTAACCTGCCCCAATAAATATATTTTGCTTTCTGGGCATTTACGAGCCATATAAATTATATTTTGAATTTTCTGAGATTACCCTAAATAAATGTATTTAGTAAATGAGATTAGAATATGTAGTCTGTAAACATAAATAAATTAGTTGTTGTTTATTAGGGTACGTAAGCCCAAACCGAGCAGGCAATGACCCGGACAAGTTTTATTAGGATAGGGTAATAAAAAGTAGGTACTTCAGGATAATGAGGACCGAAAACATTTTCGAGGCACGAACCAGAACTATGGAAGCCTAGTTCCTGCTCGGTTGTGTCTCGTGTTACCAGCGAAATTAGTTAAATAAAGTTTTCCGTACTACTTAAGAGTTTTCTCCTCACTTGAAGACCAAACCATTATATTTTTATAGGGCAAAAATTGATTATTTTCATCGGTAGAATATTCATATCATTACTTATCTTTTGTGTTTCTGACTGCCAGNAAGTGTAGCCCCCTTCCGCACAAGCCTTTGGCTTTTGGATTTGGGGGTTGTCTCATTTCTGTGGTGTGTTTTATGTTTATGTTTATGTTTTAACTCCCTGTATCTTCGTAGGGAAGCGTCCTATCAAAAATTTTTGTAGCGGTACGCTACAATTACGTTTAACCTTCCCCAATAAATATATTTTGCTTTCTGGGCATATACGAGCCATATAAATTATACTTTGAATTTTCTGAGATTACCCTAAATAAATGTATTTAGTAAATGAGATTAGAATATGTAGTCTGTAAACATAAATTAGTTGTTGTTTATTAGGGTATGTAAGCACAAACCGAGCAGGCAATGACCCGGATAAGTTTTATTAGGATAGGGTAATAAAAAGTAGGTACTTCAGGATAATGACCGAAAACATTTTGGACGCACGAACCAGAAGTATGGAAGCTTAGTTCCTGCTCGGTTGTGTCTCGTGTTACCAGCGAAATTAATTAAATAAAGTTTTCCGAACTACTTAGGAGTTTTCTCCTCACTTGAAGACCAAACCATTATATTTTTATAGGGCAAAAATTGATTATTTTCATCGGTAGAATATTCATATCATTACTTATCTNTCCTGCTCGGTTGTGTCTCGTGTTACCAGCGAAATTAATTAAATAAAGTTTTCCGAACTACTTAGGAGTTTTCTCCTCACTTGAAGACCAAACCATTATATTTTTATAGGGCAAAAATTGATTATTTTCATCGGTAGAATATTCATATCATTACTTATCTTCTGTGTTTCTGACTGCCAGCGTTTTATGTGTGTACACTATAGTAGCGCATTCATAAAAGAAGTTTTGTAGGTTGAATTCAAATGATAGTGGTTTTGTAATATTTAAAAAGTGAATACAAGCCTTGTAGACAAGGCGAAAACCTCACATTCGTGGGAGAAATTTTCCGACTCGATTTTTTGCATATTCAGATTCGTGAGATGTTCCTTAACATGAATCAAGATGACGCCGGCCGGAAATCTGGTGCCCATTTGTTTAAACAAACTTTTCTTAAACAAATTGTAAAAATTGTGTTTTATACTCCGGATTTTTTTTTAGGTTTTTTGGCACATTATAAACAAAAAAATTCCTATGTACTATGCCTCTAAAATTGATAGTTTTGAAGTTATAAACAATTTAAGTTGCTAAAAATGCGAAAATGACGATTTTCAACGGTCGATTTCCGTGTTAAAAATTGTTATTTTTTATGTTACCAGGTATCTAAATTAAAGTTTAAACATCCCCCTACAAGGTGCTGAAGAGTTTTTGGGACTCGCATTATTCTAAAGCTCTGTTTTCTAATTGTTAATAAAGCGCTATGAGCCGCGAGCGCGTCTCTCTCATACGCGGATTCGCTATTTCGTCTAGCGGCTTCAGCTTATGTTCTTTGAATTTAGCATTCTAAGTACTATCACTACTCATAAAATAATGTAAAAATTGATTATTTAAATTTCATAATTCATAATAATTTTATTTTAATCTTACAGTTTTTTGTACATTTACATTGTTCAACTAAGTCTTTGGGTAATGGATCTTTGGTAACAAATTTAGGTAATAATTAACCTGTTTCATTTTGATAACCAAAAGCTGTAAACTCAAAATATTGACATTGAAGAAAAATAGAACTTTTCCATATGACGTTTGTAAAGAAGCTATTAAGACTTGTAATTTCAATGCATCGAAAGTGCATGGTGCAAATTCACGCATTAGACTCGCGCGCGCGGCTCGTAGCTAGGGTTGCCAGATTTCATGACAGACCCGGAGAAATTGATGTCCAAAAAAAAAGAAAGGTCTTTAGAAGAAGTCAAATCGTTTATGAGGAAATCGATCTCTAAAAAAAAAAAAGT